CAACAACAACAACAAAAAACTGATGTTACATTATTTTTTCTGATCACAATGAAATAAAACTAAACACCAGGAAGAAAATAGAAATTATACAAATGGACAGAGACGGAACATCTAAGTTTGAGCCAACACCAGATAACTTGAAGAAATCAAAAGGAAAATGTGTTAAATTACTTACACAAATGAAAATAGTAATATAACAAAATTTATGGGATGCTACAAAAGGAGTACTAAGCTGGAACTTTATAACAATAATTACCTACAACAAAAAACAGACAATTTTCAAATAACTTAATGATGAACCTTGAGGACGTAGAAAAGCAAAAGCAAACCCAAACCAAAATTAATGAAACAGAAAGAAACAACAGAGAGAAGACAATACAAAGATCAAAGGGATGAAGAACTGGGGCATGTGCAGGTTGGAGGACAACCTAGGGTGCTGGTTTGAGACAAGATCTCTCTGCTTCCTACTGAGTACATCAGGCTAAATGGCCTGTTAATTTCTGGAGAGTCTTCATCTTCTGCCTCCACAGGACACTAAGATTAACAGGAACACACTACTGCACTTGGCTTCAGAGCTTTAGGAATCTGAACTCAGGTCCTCAAGCTTTTTGTTTTCTTCCAAAGCTCATCATTTAAGGCGCTTGGTGCCAAGCCTAATGACCTGAGCAGGATCCCTGGGACCCAGATGGTGCAAAGAGAGAACTGACTCCCCCTGACCATATGCACGGAGGCACTTATATGCCCTTATACACACATGCACACTTCTGCGTGCACATACCCAACAGTAAATGAATAAATAATAAATGTATTTTAAAATTTTGAACCCTAAGAGGAGGAAAACCCTGACCAGTAGTAACAAGCCCTAAAATCAAATTCATAATAAAGTCAGAAAAGCAAAGCCAAGGACAAGATGTATTCATCAAACCTTTAAAGAACCACTGCCAATTCTTCCCACACTATCCCCAAAATGTGAAGATATTCTTATTCATTCCATCAGGCCAGCATGCCATGATACCCAAACCAAACAAACTCACAGCAAACAGCCCCCCCCCAAACAAAACAGAACAAAACCCAACTACAGATCAATACATCTAAATGACAAATAACAGACACAAAAATCATTAGGAAAAAATACTAACACATCAAATCTAAGAACTATTAAAAAGATCATAATAAAGTTGGATTTGTCTCAGAGCTACAAATATGGTTCAACTATGCAAATCAATGCACGGAGCACACCAGGACAATCTTGGTACTGCGGAGGCTAATGAAGGAGGCCAGGCTGGGCTACATAGATACAGAAAACAACAACAACAAATAACAACAACAACAACAAAACCCAAAAACCAAAACAGGTAATCAAGAGCTAGAGCTAGAGCCAGCTCAATTGGGAAGATTTAAATTCAATCTCCAGAACCCACAAAAGGGGGGCGTGGGAGAAAGTCAGTGTGGTGGTGGTGCCCACTTTTAATTCTAGCCCTCAGATCTCTGTCAGACTAATTCTGGTCTGCATAGTGAGTTCCAGGCCAGACAAGAGTTACATGGTACTCTTCTTTCTGGTTTTTTTTTTTTTAAGAAATCAAGCCCAGGGCCAAGAGATGACTCAATGGTTAAGAGCACTGCTGACTGCTCTTGCAGAGGACCCAAGTTCGATTCCTAGTACCCACATGGCAACCAACAACTGTCTGTAACTACAGTTCCAGGAGAATCTGAAGCCTCCTTCTGACCTCCACGGGCACTGCACGACATGGGTACACTTACACGCATGTGATAAATACACTCATACACATAAAATAAAAATAATAAAAAATCAAAAAAATATTATTTTTATTTTATGTGTATGAGTGTATTGCCTGCATGTGTGTGAGTGCACCATGTTGTGCAATGCTGCAGAGGTCAGAAGAGGGCTTCAGATTCCCCTGGAACTGGAGTTAAGGACAGTTCGTAGCCACCATGTGGGTGGATTAAAGCCACTCCCATAAATAAAATATATCTTAAAAAATATTTATTATTTTTATTTTATGTGTTTTCATGTATTGCCTGCATGTATGTGAGTGCACCCGTGTCGTGCAATGTCGTGGAGGTCAAAGGAGGGCTTCGGATTCCCCTGGAACTGAAGTTAAGGATGGTTCGTAGCCACCATGTGGGTGCTGGAAATCGAACCCGGGTTCTCTGCAAGAGTGCTCTTAACGGCTGAGCCATTTCCCCAGCCCCATAAACAAAATATTTTTAAAAAGGCAAGCCCAAGATGATGGTAAACATGCATAATCCCAGCATTTGGGAGGAGACAGGTTGACCTTGAGGTTAGCCTGGTTGGTAAATTCCAGGCAAATGAGATTCTGTCTCAAAAAAAAAAAAAATTAATGGAGCCCAAGGAATAGCACCTGAGTTTGCCCTCCGTATGTGTATATGTGCAAATGCACCTGGAAACACACGTGTACACAAAGACAGGAACACAAATATGCAAGAAAGCAAACAAAATACACTATACATTAACAGAATTAAGGATAAAAATCATATAGTCAAGTGCTTTTTCTGCAACCACAGGAACAAAAATAACAAATCCAAATAAAACTTCTATACAGCAAAGTAAGCAATAAAAAAAAGTGAAGATAATTTGATGAAAAATTTCTCAATTATTCATCTCACATTAAGATTGATATCCAGAATATAAAAGGAACTCATATATTCTAAAAATGTTCAATACTGTTAGCTACAAGGGGCTTATAAATTAACACACTGAGGTTATCTTAGCTCATTAGGATGATTAACTATCAAAAAGATAGACAGACAGATGCACACATACCCCAACATCAACACCTCCCAAACAAACAAAAACCGCAGACAAGGACTGGCAGGAAAAAGACTCTTACACTCTGAGCGGGAGCGTAATTAGCAGAACCATTACAGAGGCCACTACAAAGGCTCCTCAAAAAGCTGAAAACAGCCATATGGTGGAGGCAGAGGATCCAAGTTCAAAGCTAGCTTGTATGACATAGCAACTCTGTCTACAACAAAAGGAAATGAAAAACCTTAAAACTGATCTACTATGTGAGCAAGCCATCCCATTCCTTGGGATACAGGGGCAGCTGCACTACTGTTGAGTTTTCTGGGGCATTATTAGGGCACCCATCAATGAATGGATAAAGAAAATGTAGTACATGCACAAAATGCAACATCATTCTCTCATAAAGAATAAATTCTGTCTTTGCAACGAAATGAATGGAACAGAAGGAACTGAATAATCTTAAGTGAAACAAAGCAGATACAGAAAGATGAGCAACACATATTCTATCCCAGATGTAGAAGCTAAGAAAAAGTCAAACTGGAGGCTAGGGAAATGGCTCAATGTACAAATGACTTGTAGGATCTGAACTGGGTTCCCTAGACAGGTGTGTGCATGCATGCGTGTAAACGGGGATCTCAAGGGCTCCCCTGGCTAGCCAATCCAGCCTTAGCTAGCCAGTCTAGATGGCAAAGTCTAGGGGCAGTAAGAGACCCTGCCTCAAAAATTAAAAGCAGTGAGTGACAGAGGGAGATACTTAAAGTTGACGTCTAGACTCCATGTATGCACTCAAAGGCCAGCATTTCCTTGCACATACATGCAGACACATGAATACACTATGCTGCGCGCGCGCACACACACACACACACACACACACACAGAGTCAATTTGAACATAAAATAGTGATAAACTAGAAGTCAGGAAAGGTAGGTGCTGGTGGGATTCAAATCAACCAATTATGGCACACCATTATAATGGATTGCTATGTATCCATTCAGAATGTTAAAACAACAACAACAACAACAAAACCATTGGATAGCATTCAAAGATGTTGAGATTAAATATTTAAGCTTAAAAAAAAAATCACAAAGCATTACATGTCTTTAAGTTTGTAAAAATTAAAAAATACAGACATTGTATAATAGGGCAAAATAGGACAATTTAATTAGCAAAAGGAAAATTCATTGTATATTTTAAAAGAAATTGTTACTTCATGTGGCTCTGGAGGTAGTTACAAATTTTGGGACTAGTCCTGTTTATTTTCAGAAATAGAACATATCCAATGAATGAAATCAGGCAAAATCTTTAAAGCTGTGTTGAATCCAATCCTCTCCTCCTCAGTCCTGCTGAATGACAGCACTTCTGTTCTGATGCCTGAAGGACAATTTTCCTGTAATCAGCTACTCCACCACTTCTAGAGCAACAGTTCTCAAACTGTGGGGATTCCACAGACTCCTTGAAAAACTGCTAACCATGGCAACTCGACCCTCAAACTGCACATGGATGTTCTGCTACAGCTTCTGCAGATTGTTATTTTCTAATTCAACCAATTCTCAGTCTAAAAAGATGTTATCTAGCTTGGCATGGGGGTGTATGCCTTTAATCCCAGCCCTGGGGAAGCAGAAACAGGTGGATCTCTGTGAGATGGAGGCCAGCCTGGTCTATAGGAGACCTTATCTTGAAAACACACCCAGACACCCACACAAAAAGAAAGATGTTATCTGCAACTACCGAGTTAAAGCCTTCTTAAGCAAGTTTCCTTTCTCTGACTTTTGCAAAAGTTAATGTTTCTGCACTTCATGTATTTTCTACATGAAACTAACAGCTCCACAGACCAAAGAAAGAGCTGCATTTTTCTTCTGTGTGCCTTACATCATATTAAAAAAAAAAAAAAATCTACCCATTAGTCAATTACCTGAGTTAACAGACTTCTTAATCTATATCCCATTCGGACAATACAAAGGCAAGGAAATGCACAAATCTATCTAAAAAGCTACAGCAAACACTTAGGTTGATTACTCATTTAAACTAAAATCCAAAGCAAAATTCCCATAGGTAAGAGGATTTCTAATTGATCCAGTCAAGCAAGATTACTTAAAAAAATTATATAAATGTTTATCTCCCCAGTCTTTTACAAAAAAGACCAAAAACATATATAAAGACACTGTACATGAAAATTAAGGAAAAGTCACAAAACATTCCTAAATATACTCACAGAAAGGTAGTTATTAATGTCCACATCATCAGTAATGATTTGGCGCTCTCCTTTATAGTTAATTTTCCGAAATCTTCGCCGGGACTGTCTGGCAGGTATTTCTCTTTGTAGAATACTATCTTCGTTATCTTTGGAATTCTCTACCTGAAACACATGTTCACATTCCTGATTAAATAGCCAATTTTTCCATCTTACTGACAGTCTCTGCAGTCTTAGCAGGCTCATAAGAAAGCTTCATTTACTTCTGCTAAGAAACTACCTCAAGAAACAGTCTGTGCAGGACACTGATCCTCAGTTGAACAAGATGAAAAGACAATGTTGTTATGAAGATCTAGAGACCACAACTTCCTTCCAGGAAACAGTCTCTCTTGTGCACATAAAGATATGCCATCTAAATAAAGTGTCTTACCAGAAATAAAGGCTCTCTCACCCACACCTACACACGCAGTAATTATAACCTCTAAGTTAGTCTAATTACAAACTGTCTAATTATACACATATTTTACTTAGCAAACAATGATGGTTATGATTTTAGTGAACTACTGAAAAGCAAAAACAAAATCACTTCATTATTTTATCAAAAATCCTTTATTATACTTTAGTGTTCACCTTGGTGCACGACAGCAGCAAAAAGGACGGCATCTTCTAAAAACAATGAAGGGGAAACTAACAGTTACAGGCTGCTTAAAGTGGGCTTCCATGAATATACGTAGATATACTTGTGTATACACACATATACTTTACTCTACAATACTACCTGCAAGTATTACCATGTCTAGCTCATAAACAAAGTGAAACCCTGAAAGACTGGTACCTTTCCAGGCTTACAGAGTGATCTTTATTAAAGGTGAGCTGGCATTCCTATCTATTTTCATGGCCTGTGTTACTGATACAAGATCGCACAGTTATCCAATCACAGACTAACTCATTACTTTAAAACATGAGGGTGACGGTGGCCACAGAGGCCAGAAAAGGGAGTCAGACCTCTCAGAGCTGGATTACTGTATGTGGGGGCTGGGAACTGTACTGTGTTCTTCTAGAAGAGCAGCAAGTGCTTTTACCCACTGAGCCAGTCCTGCAAAATTCGTCTTTTTATAAAGCCATACTGGTATGTTATAAATGATACCTTATAACTAACTTCCAATTCAATAAATGATCAGTTTTCCTCTACAGCTACATTTTCTGCTAATGTCATACCTCTTTGCAATTATAAAATATGCCCTAGATATTGAATTATATAATCTTGTCAACAATCAATTCTGTTTCCTCGTCCAAAGCTCAGATTGTCCATTCTTTTTGTACATGTCCCACTCCTCATGCCCTGTCTTTCACCCTCATCACCGCCCCTTATTCAAGTCTTAACTGCCTAAGCCTTAAACTATAACAACAGTGACCCTGCTTGTGTTAGACAGACTCTCAATCCTGTAGTGTAGGCAGATAAACTACCAAGGTAAGTCATCACTGTGTCAGGTCTCCTATTCTAATGCTACAACTCATTGGCACTATTTACCAAATAAATGTACACTCTTACAACTGACATTCAAAGCTACACACACCTCTATCTCCCCCAAATTTATTTTAATTTATTTAATTAATTTTTTTGAGACAGGATCTTGTTTTGTAACCACAGCTGGCCTTGAACTTATGATGCTCCTGTCTCAGCAAGTACCATGCATGGCAGAGGGCTGCAGAACACTTTTATAACTTCACCCTAATAAAATGACCTTTGAAAAGCACTTACTTCTCCCTCAAAGTAAATCCTCTCAGATAAGAGTTGTCATGAGATCTGAAAAAATTCCCAGTTCCTAGTGTGTTTTCAGAGCTGCTATCTAAACTGCTGTTTCAGGATGAGATGCTCAAAGGGAAAAGCAGCCAGGGTCAGTGTGACTGCTCTCGTGCTTCTGTATCCAACTTACAATCTCCTATTAAGTAATTTTACTTAGATTATTTCCTCAACATGTTATTCTACCTAGTCTATCTCGACACACTATCAATTAGAAAACACATTTAACACAGACCTCAGAAGCTGCTCGTCTAGTATTCATATGAACAATGCTTAGAGATGAACAGTTCCCTTATTGCCTTAAAAGCCTCTCATTTGATGTTACTTTTGCCTATAAGCCTATTCTTTCCTGCCTGCATGTTGGCCTCCTATATGTATTACTAGATTAAGAAACACAGAGATTCCTGTATTATTCAATGAAGCTCACCTTGGGCTGTGTAGGTGAGTGTTTCTAGAGACAATTAATACAGCATAAGGATTCTGACCTAGCTGATGGATTAATTCATTGATGTATAATAACATGGAGACAGTACTGGGAGGTGGTAGAAGGGAGGAGGTGGAGCCTAGTTGGAGGAAGCACACCTGAGGGCATATCCTTACTCTGTAGCTCAACGGCCTCTTCCTGTGCTCCCTTTTCTTTGCTTACATTCTGAAGTCTTAAAAGTGTGGTTACTTAGTAGCTGCAGATATTCCATCTGTTTGAGCCAAGGTCTCACTAATTAGTCTTAGCTAGCTGTGAACTCTTCATAGTCTTCCTCAAGTCTCCTGAGCGCTGGCATAGGAGGCGTGTATCACCACACCAGGCTCAGCTTTGGATATTTTTAAACAGGAATTACAAACAGATGGTGGGGGCTGCAGAGATGGCTGCTCTTGTAGAGGACCTGGGTTTGGGTCCCAGCACCCACATGGTGGCTAACAACTCCAGATCCAGGGGATCCGATGCCCTCTTCTGATCCAAGAGAACTGCACGACACAGGTGCACTTGCACACATGTAGGCAATACAGTCATACACATTAAAAAAAAACCCAAAACAGATGTAAATAGCATAAAAAGAAATTCCCACACACCATTTCTAACAGAGTAAAGGGGCAAGAAAGACAAGAAAGACATTTCAGCACAAAGAACAAAAGAAAAAAACAAATGGAAAGATACGATTACCACAAAAGCAAACTCAAGCCCGTCACCAACAACAATGAATATAAATGGGAGAGTTTTTCCAGGTAAAAAAAACAATCATACACCAAATATAGAATGACTGGAAACAGAATAAAGCTTGTAAAATTTGAAAGTAGAAGAAATTAAAATTACAGGTTACCATCTCACTAAGAAAGCAGAATCCTAAACTTGATCATCAAACCAGCGCTGTATTAGGTACTTGTCTTTGTCCCTCAACAAAATACCTGACAAAGGCAACATAAGGGTGGGTGGGTTTGTTCTGGCTCACAAGATGGTAGGAACCTGAGGCAGCTGGTCACATGACATCTGAATACTGCTGCTCAGCTCCCTTTCTTTTTGTTCAGTCTTGGACTCCAAATCATGGAATGGTGATGCCCACATTACGATTGGTGTTCCCACCTCAATTACTACAACCCAGAAAATTCCTCACAGACATGCCTAGAACTCTTTCCATGGTGATTGTAAATCCCAAGTTGATGATCAACAGAGCTTAAGGTGAACTTTCTTTTAGAATGTAAAAGGCTATTTAATGTTTGAAAAATCTAGCAGAATGAATTATTACATTAAAAAATCAAACAGGCCAGGCCTGGTGGTGCATGCCTTTAATCCCAGAGGCAGAGGCAGGCAGATCTCTGTGAGTTCCAGGCCAGCTGGGGCTA